CTTTGGTCGGGTTTCATAAATTTTTTAAAGGGGGGGGCCAGTACACAGTCCCTCAGAATGTTGGGGGGCTGGACTATAGTTTGAGGAGAGGAGGAGAGCCGCCGGATCCAGCATACCTGTCATGTAGAATAGTCCAGCTCTGCGATATCCCTCCTCGTGCATCGCCTGCAGCTCCCGACACAGCCCCGACACTTCCACTTCTGACCGACAGCAGTGGCAGCCAATCAGGCGGGCAGGCTGGATAAATGACCCTGGCGGGCTGTATCCGGCCCACGGGCCATACTTTGAGAACCCCTGGCCTTGATTGACCTGCACTTGCATAATAGCATAAATCCTTTCCATGAAAAAAAAAAAACCCACATAGGGAGCTCTTCACAGAACCTGCATAGGTGCTGATGCTAATTCAGTTATTGATAAATTCACTACCCATCCTATTAAATACTGTCCATGGACTTTCAGGATTGGGAAAGATTACAAATGCTATCAGTAATAAATACTGATGTGCACAGTATCCTTACTATATCCCCAAGGATAAATGTTTTTGTTTATTTCTGAGAACCAGGTATTCAAACTATATCTATAAAACAGTAGTAACATGTAAGCAGCCTTTTAAACGCAGCATCAGTTTCCAAAATTTGAAATCAATTGAACCTATTTTTTAAGTCTGTGTTTAAGATCAGAGATGGTCGTAAGTTCCGTGTGTTTCAGTGCGTCAGTCCTGAATCCATCTAGTTCCAGCATATTGTGTTTTTTAAAAAGTGCTGTACTGATTTCCAACTAAATTCTGATCCTAAACATATTGTTTAATTTTTAAATTAGGTTATAAGTATTGCATAAGTAAGCTTCCCCGTAACCCACATCAAGAAGAAGTAATAAATGGAAAGCAGAATTATGTGTACTTAAAAGATGGAGATGTTTTGAATACAGAAGGAGCCACTCTCAGGTAAATGTTAATATTTGCACATTGATGTTGTTTGCAGGTATTTCGTATGCAAGATTTTTTTCAGTTGATTTGTAGGTTTTATCGTTTCAGAACTAAAAAGCTTGAAGAGACCAGTTAGGATGGATTGATTACATGTTTCACCTAGCTTTCAGTACATACAGTACACAGATTTAGCAAAGCTGGTGCTATGTTATCCTTGTACCAGGTCACACAAATACAGTTGTTTAGAAAATGTGTTAACTACATTAAATTGTTTCCTTTGGGTCTGTTGTTTTCCTACCAATTCTGTGGCATTGTAAACCTTGGTATAAATATTTGTCATGTGCAATAGATGGGTTTTGCACAGCTGAGGGTTGTTCATTCACTGCAACTGTTCCTTGAAATATCAAAAGTAATCAAGTGATACACACCTTAGTGGTGTTTTCTTTAAATTAAAAACATTATTTTATATAGAAAATATAGTTAAAATACAAAACAGAGAGTACAGCAAAGAAAGAAGATAGAACTAAAAGAAAAAAGACAAAAACTAAAATAGTGAAAATGGATAGAAAGATGAAACAGAAAGTGACTTCCGACTATCTCCAATACAGATATAA